GAATTGAGTTGGACGAAGTTTAATCTAACTTAAAAGCGAAAGAGAAAAGAAAGTATAATAAAAAATGTAAAAGCTCCAAGTAAATGATACAAATTTTGCCAAATAATTTGGAGAGAAAAGTCAGGCAATTAATACTTGTGCACACACCTGGCCATGGTAATAATAGGTTGCTTTTCTCACAGAAACACTTGAATACCCCCTACTCCCAACAATGGGCATTGGGAGTGGAGTAGGCTGACTAATGTGACCTTAATGGTTCATGGGATAATGTTTCCTTCCTTTTCAAGCTGTTCTTCCCTTGCTTACCCAGCCACAGCCCTACCCTGACCTTAATAACCACAACGAAAGCAGTGTTCAGATACGCAGGGTGAAGGCGATTTTACAGCACGCAGGTGCTGCATGGTTTTTAAACAGCCACAAAGTGTGACCCTGTCGTAAAGTCAAGAGTTCGCATCATCTTTTCCTAGTGGCTTTTATTTTTTCAATGTGGGGTGGAGGAGAGGAGAGACTTGTCTCAGAGGCTCTTGGTTTGACTCCAGGCGGTAGTATAATGGAAAGTCAGGAGCACCGACTGGGATCACATTCAGGCACATAGATCTTGTCTGGCTTTGGGCAAGTTCCTTAATTTGATTTAGCTTCCTCCTATACATACAAGAAGTACATATCTACAGAATGAGGGTCTTAAAGCTTACACCACCATTGTTGCGAGGATTAAAAGGCGAGCTCCTTTGCTTGGTGCCTAGCAGAGGTAAAAACTCCACAAATAATAGTTTCCCTCCCTCCTTCCCTTCACAGGGCCTTCTGAGGGTTCCTTCAGGGGTTAGTAGCTTACAGAGAACCCCAACAGAGAAGCGCTTGATGTCGAGAAATGACCAGCAACGACTTTCACGTATTTATTTGGATAATACATACTGAGTATGAGTATGAGCATGCCTCGCCTTCATGGAGTTTACAGCGTAGTTGGGGGAACAGATGGGGAACTGAGTGATCACATATACAAATGTAAAATTCCAACAATGACAAGCGTTGTAAGGAGAGCTTCACTGTGCAGGAAGAATCTATAAACACATTTGACTTGGTCAGAGAGGTCAGGGAAGGCGTGAACCCTCAGTGATGTTCGAATTGAGATCTAAAAAGTAAGCAGACGTGGCAAAGAGAGGAGTGAAGAGTGTGCTAGGCAGAGGAAGCAGCAGGTGCAAAGGTCCTGTGGCAGCAGGGAACAGGGCGAGTGAGGTAGGCTTGAATAATGGCCAGGGTAGATGAACACAGGGCTTTGAGGGGGAGTGAGGTGTGAAGGCAAGTCTAGGGAATATGTGGGGGCCAGAGCAGGCAGGGCCTGGGAGGCCACTCTGTCAATGGTGAATCTTTGAAAGTAAGTGGTTAGAATAACAGCGGTATATGGTTAATTACCATATGTGGGCTTGAAAATTTTACAAGTTAGCAAATGACTTATAGCTAACACAGAATCAAGTGTAAGGGTTTTATCAGAAACCGGATGGGATGGCCGGTTCTGACCAGTGGTAGTCGACACTGGCTCATGCACACTTACCTCCAGAAACATTGAGACTGGGCACATGCCCAGCTTATTGTCCCCCACTGCTGCTCTTGGCTGTGCCTCCTGGGGAGGGCAGAGTGGTGTGCCGCTCAGGAGACGAAGCTCCTGGGGACAGGTTAGGGAGCATCATTCTGGTCCTCCATAAAGGCCACCTGTGATCTGGGGTCTTTTCTCCACCCTGACGAGCTGAATGAAATGGAAGTGTAAATAGAGAGTCTAAACTATCTCCACAGTTCATATTCTTTCCAGGTCAAAATATTACTTGTTATTATTATTATTTTCATCTCAAATTTGTACAGTCATCAAAACAAAATTCCTTCAACCTGTGGCTTGCTCCCCTCCTGTGGTTCCCTCGGAGGGAGGCTGCTGACAATTCACAGACTCACTGTGGCGTTTCATGGGGGCTGGAGCTCAGAATCAAACATAAGACCTTTTGACTCATGTAGCAGGAGTCCCAGCATGAAGCTACTCTGTGATCAACCTGGGATTCCATATTCACTCTCTGCAAGGAGAGTGGTCACGTGATAGCTGAGAGCAAAGGAGACAGCACTGCAGGACCCTCAGGAAGGATCAGAGGCTTGGAAGGGGGCCTCGAGCCCCTGAGAGTGGGAGTGTAGTTGAAGAAGTCATGTCCACCTCCAGGTGTCCGTGGGCTGGGTGGCCAAGAGACCAGGGCTGCATTCAGAAGATGCACCAGCATGGAGCCAGCTGGTGCTTTTGCTGTGGTTTCTTCCTTCAAAGGTGGTCTGTGATTATAGGGTTTTGTGGCTGGCCACCCCCTCCGTTCCCTCCTGGCCAGGAGGCAGGAGGGGCTAAGAGGAGGTCACCTGCCTAATTTACAGAGAGGCTGATCCAATTGGGAAATCCCAGCAGGATTGCTAACTGTTTTCCCAAAAGACACAGATCCCACAGCATGGCACTCCCATATCCTATTCCCAGGGATCTGCCTGCATTCTGCTGAAAGCCGATTCTCTGTTCAGATAGCTGTGGATTAGAAGTATTTCAAATTTCAAAATGTTGTCAAATACACTCTTAATTGCTCCATTAATGATGTTCTACCTAAAGAGGAGTAAAAAATTGAGCTAAGCATCCCCCAAAAGAAAAAAAACCCAGTAGGATTCTTGATTGCTAGCCACACAAACCAACTTTTATTGAAGTATAACATACATACAGAAAAGTACACAATCCAAAGTGTACAAAGAATTTTCACAAACTGGACACACCCACGTAACCAGCAACCAGATCAACACACAGAACATTCTAGAAGCTCCCCTTGTGCCCTTCTGGTTCCCATCCTCCAAAGAGTAACTAATATTCCCTACTTGCGACAGCATGGGTTAGCTTTGCTGAGTTTGGCCCTTGACATAAATGGAATCACGTAGTATGAACTTGCCCTATGTCGTGAGCCTCACACCATGCTGTGGGGTCGAGCTGCAGGATCGTTATTCCCACTGCTGCCCAGGATTTCACTGTGTGAATACGCCAGAATTTGTTTATCCATTCAACGTGGGCACTGGAGTGCTTTCCGGCTTTGGGTTATTCCGAATAGCGCTTCTATGAACACTCTAGTACTTTTCTCTTGGTGAACACATATACACATTTCTGTAAAGTACGCACCCAGAAATGGCGTTTTAAGATCATATGATATGTACATCCAACCCAGGCTATTTCATGGAATAAGAAATTTACTGGATGGAGCTTGGAGGCTCAAAGAATTGACAGAAAGCTAGAAAGAAAGAGACCTAGGAGGATGTGGGGGGTGGGGCAAGATAGCTAGTGGGGCCGAGGAATGGACTGGGAATGGTCTACTCAGCACTCTGCCGTCCCGGGTCACTGTTAGCCATGGGCACAGAATCCCTGCAGCCGGCCAGGCTTAGATGCCTCCCCTTCTGGGCCAGTGCAGCCCCTGGATCACCGCAGCTCCCATAAAACCAGTCTCAGCATCTTCTCATTTCTCGGCCACTTGCTCCAAGCTCATAGGTCCAGGCCAAGGAGTCCAGGCAGTTCACATCAGGCCACTGGCCCCTCCTTGGCCGGCCTGGTGCTGGAAAGGGGGTACACCTGAGAGACAGGGAAGACCTCCCCCTTTCAGCATCCACAGTGAAAGGGAGTACTATTGCATCCCACTAAATGTACATGTAAGGGATGATTCCCTCCCCGTAGGAAGGGGGGTCAGATGCTGGACAGCCAAACTGCGAACACAAAGTGACAACAGTCCACAGCGGGTGCACCCACTTTGGTTCACTTCCTAGTGAGTGGCTAGCAGGGCGAGGGGCTCATCTATCTGTTTGGGTATCTTGGAGCCCAAGTGCATGACCTTGCCTTTAGGAAGAGGGCAGTGAGTTCAGGGACATTTTAGAAGGGACAAACCAAAAAGACGAAAAAGCATCTCACAGAGGAAGGTAAGGGAGAGAAGAGGAAAAGGAAAAAGCAAGGGACAGAGGGGAGGGACAAGAAAAGTGAAAACCAAGGAGAGAAAGTCTGGAGGAAGGCGAGAAGCACTGTTTCTTCCTGATCTGATTTAGCCAGCTTCCGTGCTTGTCCCACTTTCTCGTGTTCTCTGATGTGCTTTTATGAATTGTGCTTTGCTTAATCAGGTTAATGATGTTGACATGGACCACAGAAGAAAGAGCTCCTGGTCACCGAGATGGGGAAGGGTTTGAAGTCTGATGATCACACACAGCCACACAATTCTGCTCTCATTAGAGCGTACAGCTTCCTAACCTCACTAGTGATACCTGTGAGCTTTAATGAAGTGAAGAATCACTTCCAACAAAAGAGGCAGAGAATAAAAATGCACTAAAACCATTTGCAAGGTGGCAAGTTATTAATTGATCTGAAATTATATTTGGCTCCTTGTGGGCAATTCTACATGAGTCCTCCAACCACGGTGTCTTTGAAGTCATGCATTCCTGCCAGTGTTATATTGGAGCTTTTAGCAATTTGTTTTAAATGATAATCAGAGCTTCCATCTACGTACACCTCTCTGTGGCCTCCCAGAGAGAAAGGTGGGAGGAGTAATTACCATTATCCCCAGTTAGCAGGTTAGAACATTCCAGGCCCATGATGGTTTGTCCCATATCATGCAGCTAGCTGCTGTGAGAGCCAGGGAGGACACCAATGGAAGGGCACAAACTTGGACAGGGAGCTCTCTGCCCCCGTGGTTTACTCTCTTTCATCATTTTTGTTTTAGGCAGGGCGTGCAAATTGGTCTCAGAAAACCCAAGGGCTGTCTAGTCTTTCACTGGGGCATCCACGTATCTGTCTTATCGTTTTCCACAAGCTATTTAGGCCCAGCGTGCCTTCTCCTGGCAAAGATGAGGAGAGAAGTGTGCTGCACTTATTTATACTAGAGAGAGATAGAACGAGCAAGCGGGAGAGGGAGAGGGAGACTCTCAAGCAGCCTCCCCGCCGAGCACGGAGTCCGACACGGGGCTGGATCCCAGGACCCTGAGATCACGACCTGAACCGAAATCAGGAGTCGGCGCTTCACCCACTGAGCCACCCAGGCGCCCCTCAGTTTTCCTCTCTTTAAAACAGACAGACCTACTCTCGTGATAGTTATTAATTGCTGGGGCATTAAATAAGTGAATACGGTCAATGCTCAGATCATGGGTGGTGCAGAGAGATTTGCTGCCCTGTGGCTCGCTCCTCTGGGGCAGGAACCACTCTGGTGACACCCCACGGGGCGCCGTACTGCACCCAAACAGGTCCCTACTAGTGCACCCAGGACAGAACTATGGAGGAGTCAGAGAAGGAGAAGCAGGAAGACGGGACATGTGGAGGGGGGACAGTGCCCTTGGCTGGTGTGGCCGGAGCGCACAGACAGCTCCCATGGTGTGCACGGACAGTGCAGCTTGCTACAATATTCCCCCAACATCGACATTTGTAGAAGGACCCTCTCCAAAGTGGTCGAGGGTAATCAGTGGGAAACAGGGACCTGTGACCTTGCAGAAAAGACACACATTGGGAAAGCCGTCTGATGCTGTGGATGATTTCCTTTCTAACAGGATGATGGAAGAGCAGGAGATAGAGAACTTCCAGATGAAAACGTGATCCACATATCTCAGTGGGTCCAAATGCTCTAATTTGCTACTGAATTATTGGGAATGGGGGGCGGGAGGGACGTAGTTTTCCTTTCCCATAAATTAGCCACTGAAATGTATGAGCTCGATGTCCTGAAGAGGGAATCGATGCTTTAAAAAATTAAACCCTTAACCCCATACTTATTTTTACTTGGCACGTGTTATTTGGCTACGAAAATGTCTATTTGCCAGTGATGGAAATGCCATGAGAATGAAAAGAAGGCGTGACATGGAACACAACTAAGAAAAGCAGCGGAGGAAGGTGGCCCTGGCCATCCCGGTTGGGGAGCGGGGCGGGTGGCTGGGACTCCCTAGGGCCAAGAGCATGCGGTCTCTGCCAGGGAATTATGGACAGAAAAAGAGCCACGTCATCACCAACGGAGTCAGAGGATGGTACAAAAGAACTTCTTCTCTCGGAAGGGGTTTTCTGACGCAGGCACTGGTATGATGAGAGGGTCTTCACGCACGTGAGCTTCACAGTAGGCCAGGAGATCCGCGGCTGCCTGGGAGACCTGCAGGGGACACAGCACGGGTACTGGGTTAAAAGCCAGTTCACGGTGGGTCCAGCACAGAGGTGTCCATGTGGACACGGCCAAGGATAAGGCCATTCCCAGCCTGGAGACAGGGTCTGTGCAAACCCAAGGAGACAGGGTTTGAAACATGCCTGGGTGGAAAGAGGTCTGGCCTGGGGGTGCTAGATCAACCTCCAGAGAGGAATAAGAAGGTCCAGACATCCTTGCTCTACTCTCAGTTGAGTGATGAGTGGAGGCTCCAGGCCAGTAGCTTCACAATTACCCTGCTAAACCATGTCTAGATGAATAAAGCTGAGAACCGGGCCCGGCCAAACCAGTGATTGTGTTTATTATTGTTATTAATTGTTTGACTGCAATCCACTCTCATGACCAGCACAGAGAGACACTTCATTCTCCCCAAGAGAACACATATTATTAGCATATTATATAGATTACATACATGAGCTATGTACTCTTAGCACGTGTCTTAACTCACAATGGCCATTCCCCTGTGCAGGGAGTTGCTGCTGACCAGAAATCTCCTTCCCCTCCATTTTCCTTCCAGTCTTACCTGAAGCCTGAGGATACATGGTGGTGGTGCCCTGAACTATCCTCCTTGTTCAAGCCCAGGGGTTCTAGAGGAGGAGTTGGGTGGGAGCCGGCAGAGGGCCGAGACGCCTTCCCTAATAGGAAAATGAAGTTACCAGCTCGCTCCTTTCACCCGGGGTCTGGGTCATGTGCTCGGCAAATGAATGGCCTGTGCATTAATGCATCCTGCCAATTAGGTTGTTCTGTCTGCAAGGGCTTATTAGAGGCTACAGGAGGGGGTAAGTATACAGCAGTCAAATGAGATCCTTTCGGTACATTCAAAGTCTAAATCTTCCCTAGAATGTTAGAAACATTCCACAAATGAATGAAAAAATGTCTTTGAGCCTCCAGTGTATACAAGTCACACACATTCCCTCCAGGTTTTAAAGACTGACCTATCTTCCAAATTCCCAGAAATTCTTCTGATTTCCAGCCCAGACCTATCTGATTTAGCAGTGGCTGGAATCCTACAAATAATTCTGGTAGAGATGTATAAGACATCCTCCCCACCCCCAATAAAACTAGAGGTTGAACAGATGAGGCAAGCTCGGAGCGCCTGGGTGGCCCAGTCCGTTAAGCGTCTGCCTTCAGCTCAGGTCAAGATCTCAGGGTCCTGGGATCAAGCCCCGAGTTGGGCTTTCTGCTCAATCGGGAGCCTGCTTCTCCTTTTCCCTCTCAAATAAATAAATAAATCTTAAAAAAAAAAAAAAAAAAGAAAAACTTTAATATACCTCGGTTTACCTTTTGACATGATCCAGCTGGCCCAAAGCTAGCTTGCTAAATTGTAATTGCAGTGTGACCCTTCCCACGGGCCACACTTGTTCAGATGCTTAACATCCTTCGTGGGTGGATTTGAATAGTTCCATTTCCTGAGAGCGACCGCAAGGGGGCGCCCCACTGGGGGCTGCTGCACGGTGACCAGGATGTCAGACCAAGGCACTGGAAGAAGGGGCCCCAGAAATGTAGCTCTGGAGGTGCCAACCTCCAGTTACAAGACAGTCACAGGGATGAAAAGTAAGCAAAGCATAGGGAATATAGTCAAATAGTATTTTAACAACACTGTATAGTGACAGATGGTAACTACACTTACTGTATTTTGTAATGTACAGAATCGTGGAATCACTGTTTCACACCTGAAACTAATATAACACTGTATGTCAGCTATAGTTCAATTTAAAACAACAATGAGGCTTTGTAGGACGGCTGGACGAAGGAGAGATGGGGCTGGGCTGTCCCGGCCTCCCATCCGTGTCTCTGCTGCCCACACAGCTCTGAGTCTATAGCACCCGAACAACTGAGCTGTTTGTGTCTGGCCTTTGCTAGTTTTCAGCAGATCTAATCTAGGGAATTTTCTATCACCTCTAAAGGTGATACTGCACTTGGTTCCACAATTTTTCTTTCAGGAAAACAGGCTGTTCTTCGATTGCCTCCTTTTGCTGCTGGTTTTAGGATCGCAGATGTGCTTGCTGAGTTAGAATGACAGTCCTCTGGACGGTGTAGTCCTGTCTGGTCACCTGTACAACGGGAATGAATACCTAATGGGGACTGTCTTGGTGCCAGGTAATAAGAGCCCAATTTAAGACCAAACGGGCAGATCTGGGTTGGTTCCATGCAATATTTATATCCTAGATGCCCTCGTTTTGTTGAAACAACACTCGAAGAGCGCGTAAGTCATCCTACAATCAAAGAATCAAGGGAGGTTTCCAGCTCAGCCGTCAGCCCCCTTATTTCACAGAGCGTGCGATGTTCCTTTATTTCCTGCATAAACAGAGTATTTGGATAACCCCCAAAGTTTGTTGTTATGTGATCTGTAAGGATAAATATAAGTAATGAACATCTTAATGAGTCTTACACATGAAAGGTGACATCCTGACACACAACTTAAGATCCAGGCATTACTTAACCCAAACCTGCTTGTTAGGTTGCGTGGGAGGTTTTTCTTAATCAGTCCTAGATTGATTTTTATAGTTGAAAGTTTCCTTCCACGCATATAAAATATGGGCTGCAGGCTTTGCCAAATTGCAGAAAACATCTGCCATCTTTGAAACAAAAAACATATGATTTGCTTTCAAAGAGAAAATTTTATTTGGGTTGGAAATTTAAAACTCCCTTACTGTTTACGCTTTCTCATCAAGCCTAAAGTCTGCTTTACCTAAAGACCTCTGTTATGAAATGCCCAGAGCCTCTCTGCCTCTGGTCCTTAGTATTGAACTGTTAGAAGACAACAGATGTTGAAAAGAATTGGCAGCCTGGGAGCAACTGTGGAATTTTACCATTGCATTTCAGAGTAAAAGAGGTGATTAAAACAGCCCAAGTTAGCACATAATCCTGTTAGTTACACTATAATTACAAGCTTCAATGATGGGAGAAAATGTTGCAATTACTATAGTCAAACTCTTCGACAAGACAGATGACATAATTACTATTCTGGCTGTGACACCCACTGCATTTATCCTTTGCATCTAAAGTAGAGCAACTCACACCTATTTCCCAGCAATCCTGGTCTATTTAACGATACTACTCGGAATCAATTTCAAGCATGTTTGATGGTTCTGCCTGTTCCTCCCTCCACCCCAAGAAAACAAAGCAGGATTATTGTCCAGAGCACAGCCAGGTTGCAGCCCCCATGGTGCAACAACAGTATCTTTTACAAGGTCAAACTCGGTGCGCGCTCCCAAGGGAACCCAGTGGAACCCTCAGGACATTACAGGAATTATACCTCACCTCTAAAGCCTGAGCAGACGTCACAGGGTGAATCCTTGTGCATTTTTTCTTTCTTCTAATGTCAGGAAGTATTCGAGATCAAAACACCAGTTCCTAAGCACACGCTCAAGATACTTGCTTATTATGATGCCATGAACCAAATGTTTGTGTCCTCCCCCACCCTAATCCAAACAGGGAAGCCTAAATCTCAATGTATTTGGAGGTGGGGTCTTTGGGAGGTAATCAGGTCATGAGGGTTGAACCCTTATGAATGGGATTAGTGCCCTTCTAAGAAGAGACACGCGAGAGATCTCTCTCCACCTGCCATGTAAAGTGGGAGAGATCTCTCTCCACCTGCTATGTAAGGTCACAGCAAGGAGGTGGCCACCTGTAAACCAAGAAGAAAACTCCCACCAGAACCTGACCACACTGGCACCGTGATCTTGGACTTCCCAGCTTACAGAGCTGTGAGAAATGAATTTCTGTTGTTTAAGCCACAGGTCTGTGGCACTCTGTTATAGCAGTATGAGCTAGCTAAGTAAACATTTGGCTTCTAGTGGATCCCAGCAACTACTCTGTATTGATACAGATCAATATAGGCAATTTTCAATCGTTGGGTCCTAGGCCACAGATATAGCAGCTAGTTGGGAGTGGGGAAGGTTATCCCTGGAGGATACAAGGTGGGAGGGGGCTGGAAGATACATGGGAATACACGAATAATATAACAGAGAGTCCCTCTCTGAATTCTAAAGTCAAATGTTCATAATGGTGGATTAGCTATCATTGCATAAGGTTTTGTTTTGTTTTTTTTTCCCACATGAGAAATTGATTGCACAATGAGCGGTAAATCCAAGATACTTGCAAGAGAGTTTAGTATCTCCAGTTAACCTAACTAAGAGCTGATATTACATGGCCTTCACTGCCGGAAGAGCTAAGCCCTCACTGAGCTTGATTAGAATGATTAACCAGATCCACTGTGGACCTCAACCTAACCAAACCCTTTCAACAGGTTGGTACATGTCCTATATGATTCTGACCACCTCTTAGTTTTGACATATCCCAATTTTCCACAAAGGAACCCCTAATTCAATCATTTTGCAAGTTTACTGAAAAGAGTAATTTATTTGGTGACAAGAAGTAGTGAGTCACTCAAGAGGTTTCTGGGGTTTACTTAAAGGTGAAAGATGGATGTAACAAGAAGGTTCTAGGCTCCAGGGATTCTAGAAAGCCAGCGGCATCTCTTAGAGAGGAAGCGTTGGATTGTGAGTCAGGAAACAATGTCTCTGATCGAGCTGCACTCAGCTCTAATGAGCTGTGTCATTCTGGGCAAGACAAACACTCGGGCACTGAGCATCAGTCCTGTCAACGGGAATAGCAGTAGCTGCTGGTCTGTGATGAAGCGACATAATGGATGCTATTATATATACGGCATATTATTATTTCATTATTCATTTGGCTCCTTTCTGGGAGGGCGTTGAGAAACAGACATGAGGAAGTTTCTCAGAAATTATTAGGGCAACTGGATGCCCACAGTGCCCCGAACCCAAATCCTCATGAATTGGAAGTGTCCCTCACCTTTTTCAAACACACCTTTTGTCTTCTTGTTTTCCTGCTTATGTTCTCTTCTTTGATTTAATTCAAAGATTTTTCTCCTTTGATCTGACAGCTATTCTAGAATCGCTCATTCCTAGCCCCGTCTTTGAATTTAT